AAGTTCGGCAAGGTTATCCTGTTCAACATAGTTTCAGATGCCGTTGATCGGCGGATGCGAAAGCTGGCTCCGCAGTGAAGCTGCTAGGGCTGCTTGCTCCAACTCCGGGCGAAGTGGAAAGCCTGTTGCAAAAGGTTAACCCTAAACGGTTTAGGGGTTACCCTAAACCCTAAACCCTTTAGGGTTTTAACGGTTCTGCCCTGAAGGTCAGGGGAGGCCTTGAGGCTTAGGGTTTGGCGGTTTAGGGGTTTAGGGGCGGCTTCCGATCGACAGGTCTGACGCTTCCAGCACCTGTGAGAGCGAGAGAGAGAGAGAGAGAGAGAGAGAGAGAGTTGGACGTCGAAGCGGAGGAGTATGTCGGTTTTTGTTCAGTTGACCAGTCACTAGATTCAACTGAAAACCGCGGTGACGTCATGGTGTCCCAACAGAACTGAAATATGAAGCAGTGCCTCAGGGGGACTCCCTTCAAATAGTCAGTTGTATGGTTGCCCAAACAAAGCCCAAAAAGCACTGTTTCAACAATTCACGAGCATCTTTCACACCCTCCGAAAGCCCCAATAAGATTTGGGGGGCCAACTGGCCGGGGGGTTTAACAGACCCTTCATGCCCTGGGGAAGAAGGAGAGAGAGAGAGAGGTCTGGGGGTTTAGGGATGACGATTTAGGTATGGATTAGGGTTTACGGGTTTAGGGATTGAGGGTTTAGGGTTTAAGGGTTCATGGATTGTAAACAACACCCGACTGATTGCTAAGCCCAAAGCCCGAAGCCGCTACCAGCAGAGGAAGTCTAGTGAGGAAACTTAACTGGAGTGTCTCCGCTATAATAAGAGACATCCAGGTAGGACCATAACAGAATACATCCAGAGACTACGCAGACAGTTGGATTTAGACCCATGGACGGGTCCGCTGCCGAAAGGCATCTGGGTTCAAATCTCAGCTCGGAGGGGAACACTGTCCAGGTCAGAATGATTAGTCCTACTGCCCCGGTATATTTTCGAATATGATTTAATACAGCTAGTGTAATTGTAGCTGTATTAGGTCATCTACGGAAAGTAAGTATAGTTTTCTCCAGGCCCCAAATGTGGTAAATGATGTCCTGGGTTGCCCAGGTTCACATCGCTTTCATCGGCGATGCACGGATCATGCTTGGGTCATGGAATCGCCGGGACTCGCGTATGATCTTCTGTACCAAGGACTGCGATCGGGAGGTTTTGATTTAATTTTGGGCAAAGAGCCGCTATAGTTCCAGTCTTCATGTGGACGCATTTGGCTACATTATTGTCGATTCCACCAGATCACTGCAGGAAGTGTAGGTAACTCGCATCTTTACGCAAGTATATACCTTGCAGCTTAAGGCTGTCGAGGCCATATGTTTGTTCATTACTGATGATGTTGGGGCAGAGTTGCTGAGATTGGTTTGCTTGAAACCTGTGCTAAGAGGTAGCTAGATCGGCAGACTGTCGCATGCTATTGATCGGCGGGCAGAATCGAAGGAGCACCGAAGCCCGAGACTTTGGGGAAGGCGAGTTAATTTCGGAGAATGGCACAGCCTGCGGGAGAGTAGGTTCGGTGGTTATGGAGCCACGCCTCAGCAGCGTGGTCAGAGGCTATCACCAGCTAGCCAGCTACTCAACATGAAGTTTAGAAAGCGTAAGTTATTAGGCCCATGAATTCAACATTCCACAGTTCTGCACACCAAAGTCTCCAACCCTGTGTCTGTCAATCTATGCATCTATCTCTCTATAATTATCTGTGTCTATGTTGTTTTATAGATATAAAGGCAGACAGACAGGCAGACAGGCAGGCAGGCAGGCAGACAGACAGACAGAGAGACAGAGAGATGGAGATGGATAGATAGATGGATAGATAGATAGATAGATAGATAGGTGGGTAGGTAGGTAGGTAGGTAGGTAGGTAGGTAGGTATCGATCGATAGATAGATCGATAGATTAGATAGATAGAGAGATAGAGAGATAGATAGAGAGACAGACAGAGGGAGAGAGAGAGAGAGAGAGATAGAGATACCTACGCGCACAGACACCCGCACATTACAAGCCTGCGACCGGCAGGACCACAAACCCGAGCTTCCCGAAGAGAAGGCCGGTCTGTAGGCCTTTGATCTGGGAGTTTAGGGTTTATAAGTTATAAGGGATATAGGTTAGAAGGGATAAGAGGCCTTGGGCGTTAGGAAGGTCTAAGCGAAAAAAAGCTGTAGGATTTTTGAGGTTTGAGGGTTCGATAGGGGTTACCAGAAGGGTTGCTACAAGGGATCATGGGATGTTAGGACTTCAGGCTTTTAAGGTTCAATTCGGCTGTCAGGGTATAGGATTTCGGCTTCAGGTCGTTGTAGGTTCATTCAGGTTCCGTTGTTGGGGCTTGGCATGCCAGGTTCACCTGTGTCTGGAGCTTGCGAGGCAAGAGTGTGGTGTTTTCGTTTTCAGACTTAGGTTTGAAGGATCAGCGTCAGCGTTCGGGCTTTACATGGAGGGCTTCAATTATTGAGCATTGCGGTGTACTCGGCGTACAAGTCGGGGTGTATGACGGGTAGGCTTGGCTTGGTTTGGGTTTTCAGAATTTCTCTTGTCAAGGGTGCTTATGCCTCAAACTTTTTATAGCGGTTCTAAAGCCTTCATAAGAACCACACACAACCGTAGGACACCTTTATGGCGACCCTTGAAGACAGTCTCCACAAGGTCCCGGTAAAGATGGTGTAAGGCATGCGAAGAGGATCCCTGAGCCTAAGATCTTAACACAACCCCAAAACGACGCCACACGCACAGCCCTATGATGCCCATGGACATTGAAGAGGGTTCAGAGCCGGCGGTGCAGGGTTTGTAGGGTTGTTGCTGGCCTTTCGAATCGCTGGACCTTCAACCCCAAATTCGAAAAGCCAGAGACCCTGCCAAGCCCTGAACCCTAAGCCCTATCAAACGTGCTGGGGCTTTCGGGTCTGCGGAAGCCTTTCATAATAATAAGACTAACACTGCTATTTACAAGAATGCTGACAACAAGATTAATGCCCGAACCACAGCCCCAGCCCCTAAACCCTTAGGCCCTAAACCTTAAAAACCTAAAACCCCTAAAGCGGAGGCACGGTTGGAAGCCGAAGGGAGCGAGGTGAGGGAGGTGGATGAGGGCAGCTGGCGGATCTACTTGAAAGGCCGGGGCCCGGTGGGGTTTAGGGTTTGGGGGTCTCTAGGGTTAGGGGTCTTCATAACTGGAATAGGGTTCCGTTAAAGGGGCAGTACCTGAAAGGCAGGGGACAAGAACAGGGGTCTTCATAATTGGAATAGGATTCCGTTAAATGGGCTGGTGCTTGAGAGGCAGGGGAAAAGAATTGGGGTCTTCATACTTAAAATATGTAGAGGGAGGGGTCTGTAGTTTTCTGCTATGAGGCTTCTTCTAGAGTGTTGTGTAGGGCCTCAAGAGCTGGACTAGGGCTTCTGGGGTCTGTTATACTATAATTACAGAAGGGGCCCGAAGAAACACGATTGGCTGCTGCATTGGGCGAAGTCTTGGGGATTTAGGTGTTTCGGTTACGAAGGACTTATGGGCTGCTGGGGTTGAAGGGTTTGGGCAGGAAGGGGTTTAGGGTTTAGAGTTTAGGGCTTAGGGTTTAGGGGTTTAGGGTTTAGGGGTGTAGTATCGGGCTTGTAGGGTTCAAGGCTTTGGGTTTAAGGTCTCGAGTGGGAAATATTCACAGATGATGTGCCTGCAGCATGGTGGTCTAGGCATGAGGTTCAGGGATGAGTTTCTTGCAGGGTTGCAAGGGCTTTAGGGTTGTTGGTTGGATCACCCAATCGGGTTTTGGGCGCCTCAGGCCCTCAACCCGACCTTGCGGGAGCGGGGCTGACAGCTTGGTAATCCACATTTTGAAGGGGGCTGCAGGGCCTGCCTTTCGGGTTGAGAAGTGCACGTCCTCAAGCCCGAAAGAACCCTAAACTTCCGGTCGGGTCCGAACATTCGGCCCCAGCTAACGTGGAGGTTCTTGATCAGGAGTCTACATCGACATTATTGCTTGGGTTGCATGGATAGTATGGTACTTGCCATAAAAGGCCCTAGATCCGAATATAACCCAAGTATCAGGCTCAAGCTCTAAACCCTAAACCCATTTGATGCAGAAAGAGGCTGTTGCACTAAGACTCCCAAGAATCAGGCTCCAACTTCCCGGGACTCACGATGTCACGTGCATTTGGAGACACGGCCTGCGCCCGGAACCCTGGACACATGCGTGGTTGAGCATTCACATAGGGTTTAGGAGTGTTTCTTTCTTGTGGGGTGTTCGAGGCTTATGTGCGAAAGCCGTGTAGGCCGAAAGCATGCAAGAGCCCCGAGGGCCCTGCTTTTATGTTTTTGGTCGCACGCGGGGTGGTTTTTCTTTCTCCAACTTGTTGGACATGTGTCAACCCGGGATTTGGAAAGGGGCATTGAGAAAAAAGTCCAGGTTGAGGTGGGATGCTTACGGGCTCCCAATTGGGCTTCAAGCTTGCAAAGTGCTGAAGCTGGGCTTTTCAAGCACGCCAATGTCTAGTTGGAGCTTGGACCTGGATGATGCGAAAACTTTATACGGGTGTTGGGTTTAGGGTTAAGGGGTTTAGAGTTTAGGGTGTTAGGGGTTCTAGGGGTTTTACGGGTTTAGGGGAAAACTTTACACGGCTACTTGGGAATGCGGCGTTTGCGATGCTTGCAGCACAATGTCTCTGCGAGTGAGATGCTTGCGACAGGACTTTCGTGTTTCGCTCGGGCTGTTGTATTTTCCAGTACTGCTAAACCTGTGGCTTTGTAGGCCCCGCGCCCCAGAATTCCAGCTTAAACACTGTTTCGAGGCTTCGGATGGCTTGTTAAACGAGGGTAGTTCCATGGAGCAACAGACAAAACACTGCTGCCCCTTGGCAAGCCCCATCCCACGAAAGCCTCAAAGCCCCAAGTTTGACAAGACAGCCGGAGGCCGGAATCTCCCGTGACCCCGAGTACCACAAGTTTTTGATGCAGCCGAACGACCAGTGGTATGCCATTGTGGCATCTGATGGCATTTGGGATTCTCGGTGGAATCAAGTCGAAGAGCACTGGGACAAACAGCTACACTACAACAGAAGGTTGACCATCGTGGTTTAAATGAAGAGTTTTTTCCGATGCCTTTTCTATGGGAATGGCATGTTACCACTGCTGTCTGTGGTACCTTTGCCTTTGCGCAACCACTGTTCCCAGCTGCTTTCGATGACAGGAGTAATCATCATAGATTATTCTTGCAGATGGCTTCTCGGCCGGCGTTTGTAGATGTTACAACGGTTTTTTTTGGCAAGGTTTGCAAGCCAAACTTGAAGCCAAAACTCGCATCTGCAGCCCGAACTTGAGCATCGGGAAGCTTATTTACCAGGTAGAGCCCCTACAGCAGTTTTGTCATTGGAGCCGAAGTTAACCATGTACTCTCCACTCCCAACAGAGCCCGATGAAGTTCCTTGATACCGGTCCTAAACCCAAAACTGTGATGCTGAACGCCTCCAGCGCCAAATCCACGGCTTCAAATCCTACACCTGCATTTCTACAAGAGAGAAGACGTCAGAAACGTCCTGCGACGACAGATGTCGGCTTCCAGCGATACCCGAATTTTGGCTACCCAGAAGCCGCGGAGTTATTGAAAAATGTAAACCCTCGGAAGCTCAAATCCTCCGAGGAGTTCATAGAAGGAGAGGAGTGCTGCAGCCTCACTTCGAAGAAGCTTCGGCTGAAGGGTCCAAGAGAAACAGCACCTTGGACCAGCATTTGGCCGGTTTTTGTGAGAGTTAAGGGCTTCCTTATGCGGACTTTCTTGCCGCCACAGTTTACGCAGCAAGGAAAGGAGTTAGCTTTATTGATGCTGCAACAGCTAAACCCTAAACCCCCCAAGGCTACATGCTTGCTTCGCAGATGCACCTTGCAAGTTTTCGAGTCTGCCAGCGAAAGACAGGTTGAGTTCATCACGACAGCCAGCCGCAAGCGATGGGCCCATGTTTGTGGCGACTATTGTGACGACATCACAGCGGTGCTGGTTTCTTGACTTTACCTTGCTGGCAACCAAGTTTTGTGAGGGCTTTAACAAGCATTGGCGTTCCTGTCGAAATTACATGGCCAAGTACTCCAGGGTGAAGGGCCGAAGGTTCGGGTGGATATACAAGTCTTGAAAACAACTACCCTCTGCTTGCTTGTCTCTCTTCAAGTATCGCAGCAGAGAACTACGCGCAAACCCTGTTCTACTAGTATTACTAGTACTTACTTCGCCCCCCCCCATATTGCCAGAACATCTTTTTGATCGTGGCGACTTTGCAGAGAGTCCACATGTGAATGGGCATCTTCCTCCGCACTTTTGAGCAGGTGTTGCGTTGAGGGCAATGTGTCTAGGACACAAGAGATGGACCAGGCCATGCTAGGTGCTTCGCCTCAGTAGCGTGAGATCTAGAGTTTCCGAACAGGTCTGGAAGGCCGTATTAAAGACCGCAGTGACCTGCTCTGTACATACAGGTAATGCTACTTCGCCGTTCGTTCAAGAATGAAGAAAGTGTCTCAGTGGACGCAATCGAGTACAGGTCCCAATCGCCCTTAAAACCCAAGCCCAACAGCCCAAGCCGCAACCCAGATTCAGTGGAACACCACGCCGCCAGAAGGAGGCCCTGCTGTGAGCATGATGAGAGTTTCAGGTTTCGTTCTCCGACCGATGGAAGCGGGTCAAAAAAATAGGATGAACAGATATGACAACGGAAGCGCATCAGTAATTAGTGATATACTACGGCATTAATTGCATTCACAGCAAGAGCCGCATTGCGATTTTGCGTTCCGTAAGTCAGACCCTCTGCGATGATTTCATCGCGATTTCTATCCCCATCTCACGGAGTCTCTAAGCCGAAGGCGCTGAGGCGGTTTAAAGTGCACGCGCAGCATGGCAATGCAATGTCTTCGCCCCCGCAATCGTCCAGGGCCTTTCCTGCCCTCGCGGCCGAGAAGCTGAATCCCAGCCCTCTTCCTTCGCTGAACCGTACAACCTGGACCCTGAACCCGAAACCCAACAGCTGCATATTCCGACACGTCTTCTGACAGTGACGAGGTATTTTGCTGCTTTCTGCTATAATGAAGTGAAGACACCAAGATCAAGCTGATGCTTGATGCATGATTACGATGAACACCATTGCCATAAGATCATGAAGGTGATGACGATGATGCTGATGCTGCTGGTGGTGATGATGGTGATGATGATGATGATGATCATGATGAACATCATCATCATCATGGTGTTGAGGATGGCGGTTGCCAACATCGTTCAGTTGTGTTTTAGATTTTCTCGATTTCTCCGACCATCTTGTTCTCGACTTCGACGCAGGTACCAACAATCACATGATGAGCGTGCGCCAATTCCAGCCACCATCGTCGTAATCCGATGACCGGAGTGGCCGGAGACCACAGCAGAGATCACTCAACAAGCGACCTCAGAAAAGGAGGGTCACAGGCAGTTTCATGACTCAAGCTTACGGCCTATGGGTTCGATCCAATATAGCTCCAGGGTCCCGAAGCCCACGAAAAAATAAGCTTGATCAATGAACGGTCCTTGTCGAGTGATGTGGCTGTTGAGTCTGCGGCGTGAATGGCAAAGCAGTTTCACTCTTTCACCTTCAGTGCCCTGGCTGCATCCTAAGTCCCTGGATTTGGTTGGGGATGTTGTTGTGTGTAGCAAGGAAATCCTCGAAGGAATATCAAACTATTGAAATCCTGTGCTGCTTCACTAAGCCCTCCACAACTCACAACCTTTGCGATTATTCTTATGCAAAGGATACCAATGCTTTACGAGGCTTGCTCCGAAACAATGCTTGGACCCCCGATCTTTCTTGTAGTAATAAGCATCCAAGTAACAGTACCAGCTACCAACATGGTAGCAATGATATTCTTTTTCAGAAATGATGCTTGCTTGCCGGTCGCCAGCTTTCGTCTTGGACTGCTGTAGTTGAGTGATTGAAGATTTCGGCGTGTGACGGCCGTAGCATGCACAGGACGGGCAGGCAAGCCCGTATTGGGACCCTGTTCTATAGGCCCTTCTCGTAGTATGAGCTCGAGTTCACATCGATCAGCTGTGTGGGGCTTGGCCACGGGTGTTCACAGGCTTGCGCTGCTTGACATTTAAGACCATCGGGTTCGAACATAGCTCGGCTGCCAAGTTTGGGAACAAGGGACCAGCGACTGCACGTAGGGCTCATCTTTGTGCTCGACCTCGACTTGCTCGGGGACCTGGCTAGTTCTGCACAAGTCTTAGCAATCGGTTGTGCGGGGCTGTGGCCGTGGTTTTGTACGAGAGGCAGCAAGTCGTCAAACCAACCGGCCAGACCTGTTCTCAAGAAATGCATGCATCTGAGGTATGGTCATGCAAGAAACTCGCATGGTTTTCAGTCTTATTCTGGTAAGCCGTGTTACCACAAGCAAGATGGCGACAGTCATCCCCGAACCCTCAACTCCCCAAAGCCAAGCCCCAATCCCCAAGTCCTAGATCATTGCCCCGAAGCAAAAAACAAAGACACACAGCAGTCAAGAAACAGTGGCAAGTCGCTGAAATCTGGTCTTCGTCAGTCGTCCAAGGAAGCCGCCCGCCGCCAACGCGGTTAAGTGCCTCGAGGTGCCTGTTCTGGGCGTTACTTAGGAACATCTTTTCTGGGGAAATCGTATATATACCTTTCATAAAAGCTTTGTTGTCATTTGGGAGGGTAAGAGGCTCATTGTGTCGTGTTTTGGCGACAAAGCTGTCGAGCATGAACCCTTGCATTATAAGTATATCCCTTCTTGTGGGTTCCTTGATGTCTTCACTTATCACCTGCGCCAAAGACATTCCATCTTGAAGGGTTGTGCACATCAGTCTGACAGGCCGTTTAGAGGAAGGCTCCCACTACTCAACTACTCAGGACGTGTACTAGCTTGTTCTACCCCCCCCCATTGTCAGTCAAGGCATAGAGGCTTGGGAAGAACTTTCAGACGGTTTAGAGTTGAGGATTTATAATAGGGCAGTCTCGAATCCGTAGTTACCTCTCAATGCTGATTCAGGCTTCCTTATTATTCTGAAGTCAGAGATGCTCGAGCATCCGGTGTGGAGACCTGAAAGGTCCAGGGCAAACAGGCTCAAACTCCAAAGCCGCAAAACCCCTACCGGACCCCTGCAGAAGCTACCTTTTCTGGCTCCTTATTCTGTTGGCCCTCTTTTTGAAAATGTAGGATTTTTGTTTCTTCAGGGTAGACCCTGGGCTATGGAAATGGCTGGCATAACCCCAGAGCTTGAGCTTAAGCCTCGTCGGCCCCAGGCCTGAGAGCAGCATCAAACTCCTCAACCCGCGGCCCCCTACATGAGTCAAGCTTTCTTAGTCTTAGGCTTCAAAACTAGTCCAAACTCTTAGTCCAAACTCTTAAGCCTCACATCCTCAAACCTTTAGTACCGGAAGAAGTATATCAAAAGCCCAACCCCTACAAACCCGAAACCCTAACCCCTCCCCCATCTTAACCCCGACGGAAGGCACAGGCCGACTTCTACAAGGAGAAGCTCGGCCGAGTTACGATTGAATAGTTCAGGGCTGCGGGGTTTAAGGTTTCGGGCTTAGGGTTCAGGGTCCAGGACACAAGGTCTAGGATGCAGGTTTGAGGGCTTCCGGGCTTGCGCACGGTGTTTTAAGGTCATGAAGCCTTGGGGCGCACGCTAGAGAGCCTCGACTGGACATGTGCACGCACCTGAAACCCAAGCTCTTAAAGGCCTGTTGTCCTGAACACCAAAGTAGCTCCCAATCTTGAACCTTCTGAAAGAAGCACGTTGAACAACGAGAAGCCTAAACCCCCCATAGCCTAGCGGTAAAGAGCTCACCGCCAAGAGAGCTTAGGGTTCTGGGAGTTTCCGAAAATTAGGGTACCTTATTTTGGGATCCTTATAATAAGGATCCTACTATTTAGGGTACTATATTTGGGTCCCCAATTTTCGGAAACCCCCTTCTAGAGGGGCAAAGAGCGCTATGAGGGTACATTGTTGCTAAGTCACTGCTCAG